TGTTACATTCAATTATGCTATTTTTATGAAATGAACCTATAAATTATTTCAATAATGCAAAACTTAGCTTATTTGATGACTTTAACATAAGAGTCTAATAAATTAAGATCAAACTTAAGTCAATCAAAAAATTCCATTGCTATAAAAAAAATAGAATAAATTTAACCTTTAAGATCTTGTATCTTAATGGCAAAAAAAAAAAAATTAACTAAGCTACAGCTTGGTGGAATTCTTTATGGTCATAGCTGTAGTAATTCTTATACAACAATTGCAAAAAATGTTAAGTGTGGTAAGACTATCATCTATGATGTTCTGAAACGATATGATAAAACAGGATCTGCTATAGCAAAAAAACAGTCAGGCTGCAAGCCCATCTTTGGTGCATTGGAACTAGATGAACTTAAAAGAATGGTTATACAAGATACTAAACACCATCATTTAAGTGCCTAAGAAATTAAAGATTTATAAAATAAAGAAAAAAATCAATTAGTTTCTATTGTTACAATCTGTCATGCCTTAAAAAAAGCTGGACTTCGTTTATGTGTTGCATGCCATAAGCCGTTAATCTCTAAAAAAAAATAAAGATAAATAAAAAAATTAGTCAAAAGACTATTTAGATTGGAATCACAAATGGCATAATGTTGTTTGGTTGGATGAGTCCATGTTTAGGCAGTTTTCAGCAAGTCACAATATACGAGTTTAGCACACTCCTGCTGAAGAGTTTGATGAATCGTGTCTTGTTTCTACAATGGGTCAAAGCCCTGATCTTATGTTCTGGGCTTGCTTTTCATGACATGAATTAGGACTGATAGTCCCTATCTATGGCAAAGTAAATAGTGAAGTTTATGTTAAACTTATAAGAAGACATGCTTTTCATGCTGTACGTCGACTTGTTCCTAATAGTTAAGGTATTTTTTAGCAAGATAACACTACCCTCTATAAATATTGGAAAGTTAAAGCTGCTTTTAGCTGAGCTGGTAATCCTATTCTACCTTGGCCTGCCTAAAGCCCTGATTTGAATCCAATAGAAAACATGTGGCAAAAAGTTGAAAGATGTTTGCAAAATTCTCCAGATAAGCCTACAAGTATTGATAACTTAGAAAAAAAAGTCATAGCAGCTTAGTATTCAATTCCATGCAAATTTTATTGTGAATTGGTGAATAGTGTAGTTCATTGAGTAAGAGAATGTTATCGTGTTAAGAGTCGCTTACTTAAATATTAATTAATTTTGTTCTGCAATTAGTAACAATATTAAAATTATAGTTTATTCTATTATAGTATGTGCAATATGTATTCATTTACAATAC